GAATTATGGCTTCTTAAAAAAGTAGCATTTTCAAAATTTATCTAGTTTTGATAGTGCAATTACTTTATTAACTTTACTTACACACAACCTTATTGGACTTAACTAGATTGGACTTAACTAGACAGAATAACACTTATTGAATCTTCTCTCTCTTCTAGCATCTTCCTGAGATCTTCTCCGATCAATCTCTTTTTTTTTATGGCCGGTGACCGGCGTTCTCCTTTTGCAGGTTTTGAGTGATAGAGGCTGGCATATTCTGTAGATGGTTTCTTTGTGATGTTTTGATGAAGTCCCGGCGGCGGAGCTGTGGTAGATCGTGGATCGGCCGGCATCATCTGCGTTAATATCTTCTTCACCTCATGTGTTAACACGTGGCGTCAATGTCCTTCTCTTTATCTTAATTAATGATTAATGATGTAATTGGTGAAGATTGGGCTTTGTAAAACATCACATGTATTACCTTTAACGGGTTTGACTATGTATGAGAATTTATTGACAATTTTTTCACATATATCCTATGAATTTCATTTCGCATCGGAAACGATTCTAGGAGAAGTTCGAATCCGTTCTGATTGTTACGTCTTGTTTGTCATAAAAAATAAAAAGAATCGTCAAAAATAAAAAGAATATAAATTTATCATATTAATGAATTTGGCCGACAAAAAAATAATAATATATATACCTATTTTCCACTTTTACTGATATTATACGCAAATAATGCGGAAAACAACTTTAAACATTGATTTTATCATATTTATCAAAGAACATTGTTAAAAAAAAATTAAAATTTTTGTTTTTCATTTCCATATACTAACGTGTCTTCATTAACAAACGACATGTTCTCTTAAGGATCATTTCGAAGAATTTATAAATTTATGAAACTTTCATGGCGAAGAATTATTTATTTCAAGAAATTAAAAGGGTATATTAATTAACAACACTACATGCCAATAACAAATATCTCAAAGCAAAAACTTAACAGCGGAAGAAACAACGTGAACCGTGTGAATGAACGATCGCTAGTTCATTTTTTATGAACAATGCATAGAATAATCCTTATCCTTTACATAAAATCAGTAGGTAAGACAAAATGATGCGTCATGATCACTAGGGATACAAAATAGCAATTAATAAAAATTTGTTTTCTTCTTCAAGCGTTACTCACTCACTCCTCTACAAAAAGAGAGGCTAGAGAACTCAAAAGGGATTCATCCTCTCTCAAAATCCTTTTTAATTCTCAAGATAACAAAAATCAGCTAGTGAAAAAATGGCGACTAAAATGGTAGGGACTGCAATGAATCCTGCGAAGACCGAAGCGTCGACTTTGGTTGGGAAGCTTGAGATAGATGTTGACATCAGAGCTTCTGCCGGGAAGTTCCATCACATGTTTGCTGGAAGACCGCACCATGTCTCAAAAGCAACTCCAGGCAACGTTCGGGGTTGTGATCTGCACGAAGGCGACTGGGGAAAAGTTGGCTCTATCATCTTTTGGAATTATGTTCACGGCAAGTAGTAAATATTATAAATATAATTGTTTACAATTAAGTTTTTTAAACTGACAAGGACATGTAGTTTAGTGGTTTGTGTTAGCGTAATTTTTTTTTTTCATTTGGATGCAAACGTACATATTGTTACAAAAACTAGATTACATCGATTTTTACAATTAAACCCACAGATATGAAATGATAAAATTTAGTGCAATACGACCATTTGACTACCATCTTTTGATTAGAATACATACACCTGCTTATAATATGTTATTGACTTAATATTCATATTGATTTTAAGAGTCACTCCGAAAGATATATTAATATATCTGGTGCAGATGGGGAGGCAAAGGTGGCAAAAGAGAGGATCGAGGCAGTGGAGCCGGAGAAGAACCTGATCACTTTTAGGGTGATAGAGGGAGATCTATTAAAAGAGTATAAGAGCTTTGTGATCACAATCCAAGTGACTCCTAAGCAGAGAGGACCTGGGAGTGTAGTGCACTGGCATGTCGAGTATGAGAAAATTGACGAGAAAGTGGCTCATCCTGAGACCTTCCTTGACTTTTGTGTTCAAGTTTCCAAAGAGATCGATGAGCATCTCATGAACGAGGAATAGAAAAGAGTGCTCTTTAACTGTGGCATGAAGCATCGTTGTGTTAGTTTGTGCAATAAATAAGGAGCCGTTGTCTAATATATATAGGTGAATGCATATGATAAATAAAAGTGTAGTACACTAAATGTGTGTATGTCATGTTTTTTTTTTTGTGAAATAAAAGAATGTG